ATACAGTGGTACCTCAGGTTACGAACGCCCCAGCATACGAAATTTTCAGGATACGACATGAAATTCGAACATATTTTTGCTCCACGATACGAACAAAAACTCACCATACGACGTTACATTAGTTCGCATTTTTCATTTGTTTTTCTTACTACAGTTATTTTTTTTAATGTACAACTTAGCTTTAATTTGAGTGTGTTTTTAGTGTTGGAACGAATTATTTGGTTTTACATGTAATCGTATGGGGAAAAAATGATTCACCTTATGACGTTTTCATGATACGATCTCAGTTTCGGAACGGATTAATTTCGTATCCTGAGGTACCACTGTACTTAAAATGTTTAACAAGAATATACTTTTCATTAATCCATTTAAAAAAAATACAATTAGTTTCATTTCATAAAATTTACGATTTTAGATGTTTTTTGCAGTAATACCATGTTAATTTTGGGGCAACTTGGGGCCAAAAATGAGATTTCGTTTTTATCTCAACAATCTAGAGTTTTGTGTATCATATTTGTCAGCCACATGCCATGCAGAAAGGTATTAACATACTAACATAGGGATTCAGAAATCAATCTAGATTCCCATAAATCACAAGTAGTATAAATCACGTTTCTTATCTCTATGCTGACTGATCCAATAAACTGGATGAATTTATTAAATTCATAAATCAAAATGAAATGGATAAAGTAAATTATGAGGCAATTGCAAAGTGTAAAAAATTGATCTGTCACATAATTTAATGTGCTGATGCATTGCATTATTTAATAAATCATATTTATCTATTGCANTTATTTATATTATTATTATTATGCCATGTGGAGCACATTAACCTAAATTTTAAATTGTAAGGTTTCATTATTCTATACCTGAAGAAGACAATCTGAAATTTGTCAAAAGTATTTGTAGTAATATTTTAAGTAAAATAATAATGCTGTGCTGCATGGCCACATCAGATGGCACAGCTCTTAGGTAGAGGGTATTATATCAACCTTTTAAATTCCTTTAATCTAAAAATTGTTTGGAAAAAAATGATTACAAATCTATTGAAATGATAAAACATTTTGATTGAGATGAAATTATGGTTCTGATGTGAAGAAGTAAAACTGTGTGTTAGAAAAATGTATAGTCAAAATGAATTCAGTCAGGAAATATGGTGAACCAGTAGAAAACAAAATTGGTTTAATAATAGCACTTGCTAAGTTCTACTATTGAAAAAGATTTTAATTTATTGACTGGATGGCACTAGTATATGGTATAGGGTACATTGGATAGTCAATTGTTCAATGTCACAAGATGGAATTGTTCTCTTTCATGTACTGTATGTTATGAGTTAACCAAAAGTACAAAAAAATAAACCAGTCTAGCTAGAGTGGTAATGCTGAATTCTCATCTGATAGCTTCCTTTGTTTTCCTGGGATTAATCCAACCATTGAAAGGATTTCTGTGAATAGGACAAATAAGAAAGTAACTTTACTCAAAGCAACATCTTCAATGTTGTGCTGGGTGAAATGTAACTTTGATACCTCTGGTACTTTGAACTTGTGTAATAAATAAACTTGTATTATGCATTTATATGATGCTCAGATCTTATGCAAAAAATTCACTTATTAGTGAAATATTATGCAACAAATCTATTTCTATCAGACAATACAGTTGTGCAGCAGTTGGCTTGAGGTGAGCCATGAGATAATTTGAATTTACAATTGTCACAATTCAGCTTTTGTAGTATTTGGTATCTTGTATATTCTAAAATATATCCTGCTCAGGTGTCCACTTAGTAACCCTGCAATTTACAAGTTTATATTAACAATTAACTGAATCAATGAAAGTTTTAAAAATTGTCTTAAAGATCATGTGCATTCTGATTTGAAAAGAAAGTTTCATTTTTACAATCAGTCAGTATAGATTGTAAAAATGGACATAACAAAACAGGGTAAGAGATACAAATATCTGAAATTCGCAAAATGTGAAAACATCTCACTTTGGTTCACAATAAACATGGCCATTTTAGTATCATTAGCCTTGAAAACTTGATATGGTGGTATCCACACTCTTCAATAAATTTTTTGAGATTTATCTGGATACTTTTCAGCAGTTTCTATGGTTATTTTTAATTAGCACCTAATTAGATATATCTATAAACTGCTAATCATCCAACTTATGGGGCATTCTTGTATTATTCTGATACTGAATTTGTGCTACAGTAACATTGCATTCAAATCACTTTGCAACCTTTGCAAGCTTTTATGTCACGACCAACTTATTATCTGTTAAACAGAAGTCCATTAGATGGAAAACAGTTTTTATAAAGTGGAAATGCATCTTAAATTTGAAGTAATATAATATTTAATCCAAATGCAATGTGATACAGTATAGGTAATCCTTGTTAATTTGAACTTTGATATTTTGAAATCCCATTAGTTCATAACTGTACTATTTGTCCTGACTGAGGACGTTGAAATTTACATTAAGGAATTTGGTTAGTTTGAAATACGGCTACTTTGAAATTTGAAGTGAAAATTCTATTTGAACTGTGATATGCATATGTTAACTTGTTCATTTAGATTGAGGTGTCTCCGTACCATAAAAGAACAATAGACCAAAAACGACTCTAATCTGGCCAATATTGATTTTTTACAGTAACACATTTTCAGGTGTCACCTTATCCACTAAGGACTACCCTTTTTTTCTCTTCTCATAAATATGGCTGGTTTTTAGGATTGTAAGTTTGGACTAAAAACAGCAGATTGAGATATTTGTAGGGTTCCTGGTTACTAGTTTTTGGGTATATTTAAAAATAATTTGGGATGCATTTTAAGGAATTCTTTGTTTTATAAAATCTATTTTGCAACCTGTGAGGTTCTCACCAGACTTGTTTACCTGCTGTTTATTTATATTATTATTATTATGCCATGTGGAGCACATTAACCTAAATTTTAAATTGTAAGGTTTCATTATTCTATACCTGAAGAAGACAATCTGAAATTTGTCAAAAGTATTTGTAGTAATATTTTAAGTAAAATAATAATGCTGTGTTGCATGGCCACATCAGATGGCACAGCTCTTAGGTAGAGGGTATTATATCAACCTTTTAAATTCCTTTAATCTAAAAATTGTTTGGAAAAAAATGATTACAAATCTATTGAAATGATAAAACATTTTGATTGAGATGAAATTATGGTTCTGATGTGAAGAAGTAAAACTGTGTGTTAGAAAAATGTATAGTCAAAATGAATTCAGTCAGGAAATATGGTGAACCAGTAGAAAACAAAATTGGTTTAATAATAGCACTTGCTAAGTTCTACTATTGAAAAAGATTTTAATTTATTGACTGGATGGCACTAGTATATGGTATAGGGTACATTGGATAGTCAATTGTTCAATGTCACAAGATGGAATTGTTCTCTTTCATGTACTGTATGTTATGAGTTAACCAAAAGTACAAAAAAATAAACCAGTCTAGCTAGAGTGGTAATGCTGAATTCTCATCTGATAGCTTCCTTTGTTTTCCTGGGATTAATCCAACCATTGAAAGGATTTCTGTGAATAGGACAAATAAGAAAGTAACTTTACTCAAAGCAACATCTTCAATGTTGTGCTGGGTGAAATGTAACTTTGATACCTCTGGTACTTTGAACTTGTGTAATAAATAAACTTGTATTATGCATTTATATGATGCTCAGATCTTATGCAAAAAATTCACTTATTAGTGAAATATTATGCAACAAATCTATTTCTATCAGACAATACAGTTGTGCAGCAGTTGGCTTGAGGTGAGCCATGAGATAATTTGAATTTACAATTGTCACAATTCAGCTTTTGTAGTATTTGGTATCTTGTATATTCTAAAATATATCCTGCTCAGGTGTCCACTTAGTAACCCTGCAATTTACAAGTTTATATTAACAATTAACTGAATCAATGAAAGTTTTAAAAATTGTCTTAAAGATCATGTGCATTCTGATTTGAAAAGAAAGTTTCATTTTTACAATCAGTCAGTATAGATTGTAAAAATGGACATAACAAAACAGGGTAAGAGATACAAATATCTGAAATTCGCAAAATGTGAAAACATCTCACTTTGGTTCACAATAAACATGGCCATTTTAGTATCATTAGCCTTGAAAACTTGATATGGTGGTATCCACACTCTTCAATAAATTTTTTGAGATTTATCTGGATACTTTTCAGCAGTTTCTATGGTTATTTTTAATTAGCACCTAATTAGATATATCTATAAACTGCTAATCATCCAACTTATGGGGCATTCTTGTATTATTCTGATACTGAATTTGTGCTACAGTAACATTGCATTCAAATCACTTTGCAACCTTTGCAAGCTTTTATGTCACAACTTTAACAGTTTCTTAGAGTATTTCTTGATTTTTGTGCCATTTTTGTTTTTTATTTAAAAATCATAATCATTAAATTATATTTAATTATTAATCCTGAGAGCTAAAGTTATCACTGTTCAATTACATTTTTATATCTAATACATTCTATATAATAATAATTTCAAATGTATAGAGTTTTTAATTCTTTGTATGCTTTTTAGGGTGGTGTAGTTGCAATAATAATAAACTGGGATTGCAATTTTGATTTTAATGAAGATGAATGTATGCCAACATACTCTTTTCGTAGATTGGATGATCCGTTTGTCAAAATATCTCCCGGATGGAATTTCAGGTAATTTGCAGATTTCCATTTAAAATTAGAGGAGATTAGAACTTTTTAAGTTAAGTGGCTGTTTAAATCTCTAAAATTTCTCCTATTAACTTTCTATATATGATAAAGATAATACAAATTTGTTTTTTTTAAATACATACAAGAATTTGTGTATGTGTATATTTTATATTTATATATATATATAATTCTATGCACAGAAAACGAACTTCTGTAAATAAGTATTATAAAACCTTCCACTCTTTTTCTAGCAATTTCTTTAATCAAACTAACATTTTTGGCTATATTTAATGGCCTTCCTCAGGTTCTACAATATTGGAATGTCATATATTTGAAATTTGTTTTCATTCTTATGACATCATTGTTTTTACAAAGTTTTTCTTTTAACAAAAATTTATTTTTAAATTACAAAGAAAAACTTTTTGTAAAAACAATGATGTCATAAGAATGAAAACAAATTTCAAATATATGACATTCCAATATTGTAGAACCTGAGGAAGGCCATTAAATATAGCCAAAAATGTTAGTTTGATTAAAGAAATTGCTAGAAAAAAGTGAAGGTTTTATAATACTTTATTTTTATATATATAAAGAAAGTAATTTTTTTCAATAGTATTAGTTTGAAAAAAAAATGCTTTTTTTTTCAAACTAATACTATTGAAAAAAATTACTTTCTAATTATTGCTATTTTTAGTTGATATTTGACAAGTCTAATCTAACAACACTTTAGTCAAACATTTATCTTTGCTAGTTGGTTGAGTAATAAGATAATGTTAAAAATCTAAATATGAACCCACTTCAGACCTTTAATTTATCACAGGTAGTACATTTTAGATATCATAATCCACATCCCACCCAGACTACTGACTACATTATTTTGAGCTTACCCATAATGAGTATAACACACTTTTTATATTGGACTTACATCAATTATAGTTAATATTTGATATATTAATTAAGTTTAGACCAAATGAAACTATATGAAACTGCTAAATTTTAAAAGATTGATTTTAAAGCAGATTTTAACTCAGAGATGAAACATAATAGATCTGTATTAACCATGAAAAATCATAAGTTCAGGATTGGATTTGAACACAAATCTTTCTTATTATACAAACCTAAAAATTATGATATAAGAACAAAATATAAAATATGTTTGTCTTATCATTAAGTCAAAAAATAAATGTCTCAAAATATATTCTTGCAAATCAGTGACTTCTTGATACAATATTTAATTAGAACTTTAAAGTTCAAGATTTTTTTAATTGATATTTCTTCTTGATATTTATAACACTGATTTTTTGTTAAATAGTGAGATATTAAATTCTAAAAGTAAAAATTTATAAGTTATTTATATAAATTTTTTATATTTAAATATTTTTATTGCAGATATGCCCATTATTATAGTGATACAGAACGTACTCTCTATAAAGCATATGGAATAAAATTTGAAATTCTTGTTGGTGGCAGAGGAGGAAAATTCAACATTGTTCCACTTCTAATGAATGTTGGTGCTGGGCTTGGCCTCTTTGCTGTGGTAAGTTTTTTATCTCTATAGATTACATTAACTTTATTAACATATTTAATAAAATAAAAGTTAAATAATTTTATGATTAAACCTTCATAAACTAGTGGCATGCTTAGCAAAAATTGTTGGCTTATAGCTCTAGATATGTAATTATTACTGAAATTCATTATTAATCTTAATTTATTACTTCCAATTAGAAGTTAAAATATTTTTGACATTTACAAATAAAGTAGAAATTAGAATTTTTTAGTTTCTACTTTAGTTCACAAAACAAAAACTATGAAAATTAGCTGATGCTGTAATGAAAATATTAATTAGTTGTTTACTGGATGATACAATGCTAAATTAGATAAGATAGAGATTTTGTTTTATTCGAGGCTCTATTAATTTTGATTTTATCGTTTATATTTGTCATATTGGAGATGGCAATCTCCACATGACATTGCCTGTATTGATAAATAAATTCTAAAATATAAAATAATTATTTTCAAAAGGAAAAAGTGGTTTAAAACAAGATATGCAGATAGAATAACAGGCTGAAGGTTGTCGGATCCCTCAGCGGAAAAGTGCCAAACAGCATAATGCCTTCTTGACTACTGTATTTACTCATCGCATGGGTTCCTTCAATTTCTGAAACAAATCAGTTACAGGGACTCCTAACTGGGGAATAGGGTGGGTGTTCAAGGTTTCCCATCCCCGTAGATGAAACTGTTTCTATACAACAGCCAATAGATGACATTTGGCATTGACTTGTTCTGTGTGATGATAGGTTTTTTGCAAAGCAGTTTTGATCACTGTTAAATTACAGAAATGTAAACACTGGCCCAGGAAAAATCTTAATACTGTGCATTTATGGTTGTTCTATCTGGTATAGCATGAAACAAGAAGATTTCACTATTTGAAGATTGCATGAAACCATTGATAATTTTGAAGCCATTGCATAGCACTACACAAAGCCAATGTGATGTGTATGTTACAGACTAGTAAAGACACATATGCATGTGAGGATAGGTGGTGTATTGTGTGCAATATCTGCAGATACTACAATTTTCATTTGACTGTTTTTATTACCAATACAAGTTGCAATATTTTCAGATAGAAATGAACAAATTGGACATTTTTTTGATGAAGTATTTCAAATTGGACAAATCCTAAAAAATTTGGCTGTATGGCAACTCTTATGAAAATTTCTTGTTTATAACAACCAAGATGCCCTGCTGCAGATGCAAAGTGCTGTCAATGATACGTAAATGACAATGTCTCAATGCAAATTTCCTCATATGAAGGAAATCTCCATAATTGTATGCATAGTTTCTCTAGAAACACTAGCCTCCAAACAGTTCCTTGCATTTTCATTTTCAGTCAACATCTAGTAAGGTCTTTGACTATAAGTCTTCATATGATCAATAGTGCTGGGTGGATGATCATTTTCTGAGAAGTGATTGGTTTTGTCCCTTCTGAAAGGCATCTGCTCACCTGGGTACATTTCTTTAGGGCAAGGTTTCCTTCTCACAGGCTTTCTTTAGTCTGGTGTATAGTAAGGATTTACACCAATCACATACTCTCTGGATTTTATAAAACTACCACAATTCCTGACTTGTAAACATTCCTTTTGGTGGTTTGTACTACTACTATGTTAACTTAACCACATTCTATGGAACACTATAATTGCCTCATCAAATAACTATTAAAAATTAAACACACATCAAGAAGCTGATAATGCAATCACTGCTTGGTTGTCGTTTTTTTCAGAGTAGTATCTTGAAATTAGATGTTGTCATTGTTTTTTGGATTTGAATTTCTCAGAACAGTAGGTTGACATCTTTTACAACCTTGACCATCCAGCCATGACATTATAGTCAATATGATATATGTAGTATTTCTTAGTTTATCTAATTTGAATACATGATCAGTTTTACAATAATTATATATATATATATATATATATTATTTGTCCTAAAGTACCATTTTATGACAAAATTCTACAAAACTTTATAAAATTCAACGCTCGCCAGATTAGAGAGAGAGAAGAGAAATAGAAAATGAAGTGAAATCGACAGACAAATAAAGTCAGAATACGTCTCGATCGTAGCCTAGAGCTATAGCTAGAAGCTTGTTTATGCTTCTGATTTCAGGATTGTTTAGTTTAGTATGTACTTTAGTTGGTAATGTTACTTTGAAAGACGACATTTTGCGATGAGCCTGTTCACATATCTTCACACCTGAATATATTCTNGGTGGAATTGAATATGAAAAATATATGTCCTTAGATGAAGAGGAGCCAATAACAGTAAGTTATGAAACAATTATATTAAAAATAAATCATCTTTTTATTGTGCATAAACTGTGGATTTACATTAATAAAATTAAAAGTGTAAAAATATAATTACAATAATATGATCTCCAATTTTTGTAATCCTTCTTTGCCAAATTACTTTTTTCTGATTTATGAATTCTAATTCACCATCATTTACTTAATACCTTTTAAAAGTTATCTATTTTGTATTATTTCTTGTAATATATAATATTTTTAGATTTAATTCTAAGAAATAGAAATAATGAAAGTGAAGAAATATGAATGAAAAATATTGATTCCACTCAAGAAGGCTTCTAGTTTTTGATCTTCCCAATTTGTGAATCCTACTCGTGGAATTTTCCTTACACTTAGAAAAAATTATTCATTCATTAATGGTCATTATTGTTAATTACAGTTATCAGAAATTATTCTAGAATGTACCAAATATGCTACTGTATAATCAATAAACATGATTAAACACAAAACTGTCTGGGATGGTATTGTTGATTGAAGATCTATGGGAAAGGCATAATGTTATATGTAATATTGCCAGTTAACTTTTGTTTTAAGATAGAAAAAGGTAATGTTATAAATTGATTTAATTAATGTAAAAAAGGAGTTACATTGTCTCATTACTTTGGTACATTTAAATTTAAAGCCTTTTTATTAGACATTTGGCAATGTTACTTACTTATGTCAGCTGTCACAAATGAAGTTGACAACTCCATTAATGTAATGGAGTATGAGGATAGCTAAAAAGTAAGTTATTTCAATGGAATTGGAACACATTGCTAATCATAACTGTCGATGCATAGATAATATTGGTTATTGGTATATATCTATTGCTATATCTAGAGTAATAGGTCATGTGTAATCTCATCTAGGATCATTTCTTCATTATTATTATTAGACTTTATAAGACTACCCATGCTTTTTTAGCAATCATTTCAAATGCTTTGGCTGAGAGGTGTCTCTCTCACTTTACAAACCCAGTTCTTTTATTCCATTCAAAGTTCATTGCCAGTTGCAGATCCTATTAAACAGACCCTTACAGAACAGATTTTGTGAAAATACTCAATTCATGTGAATAAGACCAACAGTCTAGGGATTTATTCTTTGATCTTCTAGCATATAAGTAGCTGTCACATTTCTATGGACAATGTTGGATTGCAACATGTCCACAGAAATGTGAAAGCCAGAAATGCTAAATCCTACAATGGTTTACGGTATTAGATCAGTCAGTATATAGATTTAGTTTTTACTTTAAGATAAGTAAGATCCATATTTATTTGAGAAATTGATTAAATGTAATTAATATTTCACAAGTTTTGTCTAACATTTTAAACCAAAACTCGAAATAAAAATGGTGTTTATCGACAAGGAACTTAGTTTCTTAATCCGGGGTNTAGATTGGAAGATTGAAGTGATTCCAAAAATATTAATACAATATTAATAATGGAATATAAATTATGAAATTTTATATATAATTGTAATAAAGATATATATTTTATAGTAACTGAATAATACCATTTCATTTTGAAATATAAAAATATAAAATGCACAAAAAAAATATTTGCTAAATCGGACTCAATTTTTTAAAAGTTTTACTTGGGTTGAATCTTTATACAATTTTTATTTGTAATTTTAAATAAAGGATTTTTCTCAATTTAAATCTTTACTTATTGAAACATTGACATAAAATTTTCACATTTTAAAATTGATGATTTTAAAGTTTATTTTTCATGCAATTATTTTGTTCCTAAATAGGTGATTTATCCTTACTACGATTGAAAACTGCTTAATTTTATATCGAAGATTTTTCAAGAAAAGAAAACTAGTATACTGTATAACGAAAAAATGACAGTTCATATTTTTTTTGTTTACATTTTTATACATATATAAATTTTTTACACACACCTTTTTTTTATTTTGCTTTATGTAAAAGTTAGACAATAGTAATTTTATATTTTTGAAGAATAAAAATTTTAAATCTTATCAAATCTTGAATTATTAATTGCATAATGGGTTATAATGAGATTGTAAGCAGGATTGGAGTAGTAACTTTAACACTTTTGCTGTCACTTGATGTAATTTTGTATCTCAACGTCATTCTAATATGCTGATGACTCAATTCTGCATCATTCAGAGGCTGAAATTTTTTGTAAATTACATGCACATTGTTTTTTGGAAGTCATTTATTAATACTTGGAAGCATAAGAAGCATTTTAGAGATTATATTTTATTGTCTGGTTTCATACTTCCCAGGGCTTGTTTAATTTTAATGATTTGTCATCATTTTGTTTTTCAAAAGGTGCTAGTGACTCAATTTTGCATCATCTCACACAATACCATAAAGATTGTTTAAAACAAAAAACTTTTTATTCTTAATCTGTGTATAACAGTGACATACTTAATGAAAAACAATTTGGAATATTCTGTACAACTTTTTCTTTCAATGGCGGCAACTACTGTATTGTTGCACATTACAATGTTAACTGCTAAGTAATGGTATAATAAATATACTATATCATTCTTTTGCTTAAACTAATATCTGAATAATTTCAAAGTGTTCTTTGCTCCCTGGGAAACAAATTTAGACAGGAGAAGTAATGGATTACTATCATATTTTTTACACAAGTTGTTAATTTAAAAGAAGCCAATAGCACTCGCAGAGCACTATGCACTATGTCTGTTACATGTGTACATACCATTCTTTGCATGATTTTTTTTTGTT